CAGGAATGGTTTTTAAGCGAAAAGGCTAGGTTATGCTTAGGAAAAGCAAGAAAGAACAAGAAAAGAAAGTAATTGCAATCTCAGCAAGGTTTCCTTAGTAGGATGGGGCTGAAAAATTGCAGTGATTCTGTTTTGAAAGATGAATAATAGAAGTGCAAAAACAGTCATGAAGTGGAGCAGGTCGGTTCGCACACCATGTACCTGTTTTTATAAGAAGATTTAGGAGACAAGCTATTGAAATTGATAGGTGACAGATTTAAAAATGAAAAAAAATATTATTTAACTGCCAGCGTAGCTCAGTATTATAAGTTTGTTTGTTATTCCCCCCTTGACTGCTGTGTGCAAAACTACACTCTGGCCAGGTGTCACTTTTACTTAGGCTGCCTTTCTAGAGCTCAGTGATCAGCTGTATCTAATTCTTGGTATTTTTTCCTTTTTAGAATATTTAAGATATTTTTAGAATGTTTAAGGTTTTTTCTCCTGTTGGTCCATACTGCTGAAATTCTCGTCACGTATACATGACTCATCTTTGCTTTCAAGGCTTCCTTCTACCTGTTAAATAACCACTTACTAACTTTTCTGTTTGCTAATGACATGATTTGCCATTGCTGCCTACTTAAGATCTTCAAACAAGCGTCTTTGTAGCTTTGCTCTGTGATACCACATACATATTTATATTTTAAAAAATACGTGAATACAAGTTCTTCTAAACGTGCACAAGAATGTTAATGGCTTCAAATTCTTCCTTAAAGATCTTTTTTTATGGTTTGTGAAAAAACTTGACAGTGATTAGGTGAGTGATGTACAGAATTAGTTGACTGTCATGATAAGCAGTATGGATTCATTTGCTGCCCTGTACTACTACCCTACCAATTTCTGTTGATCTGTACATGCTTAGTTGGTAAAATCGTTAGTGCTGGGGATATGTTTCTATTCTGGTTGTCTTAGTTTGTGGTTACTGCTACTGTAAATACAAGTTAAAAAAATGGGCAAATAATATAATAGGACTTTGAAAATAAATAACTACCAAGAATGTTCTGGTAATAGGAGATCTCAGCTTTTCTGTATTGGCATCTAAATTTACTGCCAGCTCACAGGTATAAAGAATCAGTTTCTCAGCAGAGGTTGTCATTAGCTAATCTACAATTCCTTGTACTTTCCGAACTTCTCTGCTGGCTAAAGAACAAGATAGGCAGCTGGGTGGCTCAAGTCTTGTCTGAAGCTTCTGCTTTTAAATGTCTGAATCCACAGTTTTGGTGCAAACCGCTTTATGTTCCTGTGAATTTCCTTAAGGATATAGTAGTCTGCAGCCCGATCTGACTGTGGCTCAGCGTGCATGTCTGAGCTAGTTTTAAACTACCTATCAGTAGCAATCTGTGTGCAGCATTACCGAACTGGATACAAGCTGGAAAATCTGTCAATGAAGCAAAGCAGAACAGTGTCTTTCTGAGCTATTTGCTGCCGCAGCTGGGTCGGTACCAACTCGTGAGTAAGATAGTACATGCATGCCTATTATCTGCAGTCTGATATGACTGCAGCAGTTAAATACGTTATTTAATTCTGTCTGTAAATCTGCCTGAACTCTGAAACGTTATCCTTAGGCCTGCAACAATTGAAGGTCATTTATGGATCACAAGAGAATGAAAAACTAGAGGAAAAATAACATTGCAACTCTAGGATAAAGGTCAACTTGAAAATACCTACAAATTTGGGACTCTTATTTCTAGCTGTAAAACAATAAACTGAAAAAGCATAACCAGACCAGTTAGTAGGTGTAAAGCATCTTAGCTTTACGTAACTTATTTCAGTTCAATGCCACTGCGTTAATGAAGGGGTAACTTTAAGGACAGATGGCACAAAGGTTGCCCAGTGTGAAGTCCTAATTTCAAGGAAAATTTTCGTGTTTTAGTCTTTGAAGGGGTATTGACTTCTGAATCACATGCAGACATGCCTCTGATCTTTCTGAAAATGACTCATAGCGCAACTCGTATGTCTAAGTACTGGCATCACATTTGCAATATGATGATCATTTCTCACAATAGGAATAGATGTTTTCTAATCTCATGTGTTGAATTATATAGCTTGCTGCTTTAATAAAGAAAAACATAGCTCTTAAAAACATAATGCTGAAGTTTTTGTTCTTTTTCTTTCATTAGTCGTCTGCTGTAGGTTTGAAGGTAGAATAAATTAATGACTGTCACCCCAAACTCCGTAGCTTTAAATGCTGAGTTAATTTACGCTTTCAGTGTCAGGCGATCTTTTTTTTGCCAACATAAGCACTCGGCTGAAACAACAGCTATGACTCAGTTGCCAGTGAACGCTGCTTGAATTGATTTAGTCCGAGTTCAGATTTAGCACATAATCATGTTCAATTTGATCCACTGTGCTGCCTAGAGATAAAAGGGTTGAAAAAATAGATTTAGCTTATGTCAGTCTTGGTGGTGATGTCATTGCCGTGAGAGATGGAATAGCGCTGTTACTCTGCTGTGCCTGCTCAGTTGGTGGGTGTACGAGGGAAAGGCAAGGAGCAACTCAGTTAAGTGCAAAGAGCTGGTGTCAGAAGCTTGCAGTTAGCAGCAGCACTTGAAGCAGCATTTTGGACTGTTCAATAGCAATACTGAATTGAAGATTTTTTTTTTTTTTTCCCTTGCAGTCATTTGTTACTCTGAGATTGCCTAACTCTGTGTACAAAAGGGGGGGATGCCAGCCCGTAGCATGGACTGTGATGTCTCCACTCTGGTTGCCTGTGGGGTTGATGTGGAGATTTTTACCAACCAAGAGGTTAAGGTATGCACCTACCATGCTTTTATTAACGGGTAATTCTTAGGAAAGCCTTTGGGAGCAATAGCAATTTGCACGTAGCAGTTTAGAATAAGGAGACAGATGAGAGTCTGCTGCAGTAGTAAAACACATGCAATTTGAAAATCTGTTAATTAAAGGAAATGAGGGAGAAATGTGCTTGCTTTTTACTGTTTTGATTAGCTGAAAGAATAACCTGCTGTTTACTCTTTAAAGATATAAGAAATGTGTTATATAACTGACATCTGTGCGTATGTGTTTCATATTCATAACAAAAATCATTCATTGTTAATTTTGTAAAGATATTTTTAGTCCCGTGTCACTTGCCATAGATCAGTTTTGCAGTACGTGTTATTTCTCACTATTGATAATTTTCCGATTTTTCATACTCCATTGAACAGTAGCTCTGTCTTGTGTTTCAATCCAAATCAAGCATACATGTACATTTTTTTTGGTGAAGGGTTTAAAGTTTGTAGCAAGTATTTTGGTGTATCTGAAATATAGCAATAGAAAAAGTTGTGCATCTTGCATATCATATGAAAACCTCAAAAACAATGCTTAATTTGAAAGCTTGATATGCTGGGCTTACAGTCTCTTAATTAGACAACTGCTATAGAAAAATCATTGTGTATAATTGCTCACTGGTGAAATCAATTATCCTTTTCATTTATTTTCATATTACTGCAAGAAAATCATTGCAAATTAAGTTTGAAAGTGGAATTTTAAGTATGCTTTTCACAGATCATCTGAAACAGCTCACAGGCATAATGCAGTGATATTCAGCAGTTTATTTAAAGGACACAGACAACGTTTGTTTCTAGTCTGATTGCTCTGTTCTTAGTATTAGAAAGGAACGGGAGAAAAAAGATTGTACAAATTTAAGGTCAAATTTTGAACCCCTACTCTATTTAATCGTATGAGACATATACTGAAGCCAATGGAAATAACCGGGGGGTGGGAGGGGGAACTACTTTCATTTGCAGTGATTATTATGTTTTTTATTCTCCTGTTAGTTTCTGACCAGGTTATGTTGTGTATACTTTGTACAGATAGTTATGTGTTGCCAGCAAGAGATTCTTCTTAATTCAAAAAGCATTTTTTCCTATTAATGGTTTAATCCTGGATTCAGAGATGAAATTGGTAGAGGATACTTCAGAGGAGTGGTTCGGATGGACGGTTTTGCCTGCATTAGGACATGTTTCCTGTAGTGTTTTGAACTAATAAAATGTTTATTCCTCCTTTTACTTAAGAACAATTTTTTTTTTTCTTTTATATTTAGGATTTAGCCTCCATTGACAAGGACTTGTACTGGGAGAAGGTATCTTTTAGTGTCTGGTCTATGTTCAACATAAGACAATGCAAGAAATTAAAGTTGTAGTGATCTTCTTGTATCCTTATTTACATGACAGTAGTAGTAAAAATGCCGAATTTAGCTTCTATAAAATCAGTAGACAGGTTCTCAGTGACTTTGGTAAGACTTAAATTAGCCTGTTTTAAACTGCAGCACCCAGAAGGCATGGCTGAGGAGCCCGGGATACAAGAGAACAAAAGGCTTACGGAGATATTACAGGAATTGTAATCCCTGGCATGTGCCTTGTTACTTGGACTTTCTGTACTTTGCTTTGGTTAAAACTATTTTTTTTCTCATGGCCAAATTAAAATTTTGAGTGGAAAGACTTGGGGTATGTTTACAATGGAGACTGCACTGCAGTCTGCAGTGCAGCTTAGAAAAGCTAAGCCTACTTTTAAGATGCCTGGCTTAGATGCTGGAAGCAGTCTGTCCTCAGTGACCGGAGCTCAGTGCAGGTTAATTTTCAACGAACCGAGCTGTCCGAGGCTGCGTTGAGCATTGCTGCGGCACGAGTGCTTCGAGCACACGAGCCTTAGGTGGGTCACCTGGCTCTGCCTACCCCGCGGGCTGCAGCGTAGGCATCCTCTTTGTTAAAGTTTCAACGCTACTGATGTTTTAAAGGTGGAGAGAGCTACTGCTCTTTGATCGTTCTGAGGAGAATTCCAGCGAAAAAGAGGAGAGAGGGGTTTTATAGTCTGCTAAAGGGGTTCATTCCAGTCTTTCTGGTTTTTGGCATGTAAAACGCTTAGATTTGGTGTTGACGGCTGACAGCGTGGAACTTTGCTAGGACGACAGGAACATCAAGCTTTAAGGTTCAAGAGGAAGGAGGACATTTCTGAGATGAGATGGGTGTGGAAGCTGAAGTAAAACAGCCAAAGCAGAAACAGAAATCCCTGCCCTCTTCTTCCCCTCCCTTCTTCCCCTCTTCTACAGGTCAACTGGAAAGCATAAGTATTAAAGAAACCTGTTGCTGTGATGGTGCTGTGGTTGAGCCTATTGCCCTTTCAGGTTTTTTCTGCTGCAGAGCTTTTCCCATGGGGGAAGCTTTTTGTAGGGATTGGTCACTCTGTGTGAGAGAGAAATGTTCCCTCGGTAGACTAGATTAATGACTTCGTGCGACGTGTGGTAGTTAACCACATTTGCTGGAATGAGCTATTCGTCCTCTAAGGTCAGCGAGGACTATGTTTTAGGTTTTTTGCTTTAAACTTCCTGTTGCATACTGTGCTCATCACGCAGAGTTGACACACATCTCACTTCAGTTCGGTTTGCGGTTAGAACTGAAGCGAGGCTTCGGAGGAGGGTATCTGCTGCGCTGAGCTTGTGGCAAGGGACGTGGATGTGCCTGAAAGGCCGCTTGCAAGCAGCGGGCTGCAGCGCAGGAGGAGCAGAGGGCAGGCTCCCCGTGTGTCAGGCCTGCGGAGGAAGAGCTGGAAATCAGTTTGGGCTGTAGAGCAGGAGCTTCTGCAGCAGGTGGCAATGATGGCTCCTCGAAGCTGCTGCTCCTCCAGAGCAATGGGCCTTCACGGCTGCTACTGGACACAGGGCTCGGCGTGAGCTGCTTAGCTTATCACTGGTTTTCCACTTAGGGAAATGCTCTCTTCCATATGTGTTGTGCTCTTTGCAGCTGTAAAGCAGGCTGGGCAACATTGCTTTTCCATTTGGCCTCTGGAACAAGAGAGTGATTACTTAGCACTGAAGGCAAAGCTTTTTAGTTTCAGCATGAGGAAAGGCTCATCCTTTCAACGAACAGAGGCTTGTGTGGATGCCCTGAAACTGGCAACTGGCCCACAGCACTGAGGCTGTTGGTTCGCCATCTATCAACTCATCCAGCAGGCCTTTCAGCTTTTATCAGCTACTGCTTTCAGTTGTCTTTTATAATTCAAAAACTGGGTCAGGCTAATTGAGATGCTTCTAAATGTACAGTGCCGGTATATCAGGGATTAGGCAACCTGCGAAAATAGTCATAGAAATTGTCAAGTGCAGGTCTGCTTTGAAGTTCACCTATGTAATTAAAATTCCTTTTTCAGTGTCTCTGGATGATAATTTTATGTAATGATGTTTGTTACATAAGCAATTAGGTAATGAATATTTTGTTTACTTCTAATAGAGGAATTCCAGACATCACTGAAACAGTAGAAGAAAATTTAAACTCATAGTTCTTACTCTGAGCAAGATACTCTGACGTTATTGATTCTTCATGTTCTCTCTTCAGTTATGTCCGCATGCACCATTTTGCTAGGCAGCAATGTGTAACTGGGGCCGGTAGGCACTGCTGCAACAGAGAAGAAATATTAACGATACAGACTGATAGAATTTGCATCCGAATACTGTAATGTAAAAGATTGTGGATGGGATCGTTATCTTAATGCAAGAAAAAGCCACGTAGAGATGAGCCAGGCAGCAAAAGGAAATAATATAAATAGTTTCACTGTTTTGAACATATTGCTTTGGGGGATTAATCCACGTTGGAGCAGGATCTCTGTCAACCTGTAAACTAGGTATTTACCGATAAGTTCAATGTAGCATTTGAAATAATGATAGCTGTTTGAGGTACGTGATTTGGAGATCAACCCTTAACTTGCAGTTGCCTTTGAGAGGTCTAGCAGTCTAACATCGCATCTTGGCTTCTGAGGTCTAGAGAGCAAAAGAATTTAACATTAGTTTCCCATGTGCTTTGCTCCCTGCTTCAATTCTCCATTTGTAAAAATGGCTCGTTCACAAAGGTGTTCTGAGGTTAAAGGTTTAAGTGCTCTAAGACAGTTAAGAGAAGAAGAACATAGAAAAAGAGGAGTGTTGCTGCCCTTCTGGATGTTGCCAACTGCAGAAATCGTGACTTTTTTTTTTTAGTTTTAGGGTTCCTTATTTCAGATTCTTCTCCTTAGCCACATGAGCTCTGACTTATGTGAGGGAAAAGAAAGATTGTTGTACAGTCCTAAGACTCCAAAGACTGGAGCCATACGGAGGAAACCAAATAATGGTATGACTATGAAAATCCTGGTACCTTAAAGCACTGCTTGATAATTTCTCCCTCTAGTATTTTCAGTACCTGATAGTTCTTTCCTGTTTGGAAATAGTGCAGCATCTGTGAGATGCTGAAGACCTGATATTTCTGCTTCAGTAATGCATGTCTCCTGATCTCTGTGCTTGCTCTCTTCCTTCATTCAAAGAGGAGGAAGAAAAATACTTCCAGAGTAAATGAACAAGAAAGCCATCAGTATTAACACTTTAAAAACAGGGCTGCTTGGTATGGAGAAAGAAGTACAGGTATAATATTTTCTCCATCCTTTTCTTGTACAGCCTTCCAGGAGCTTTAATACTGACACACTGAGGTAAAATAAAGGAGCTAGAAAGATTTTAAATTGTCACCTTCGTTTTATAAATTTCATAATCTGATTCTGCTTTTTAATAGAAAGCATCAATTTTTATTGTAAATTTGAAAAGCAACGGAGATACTCAACACCTAAATAAACAGGTACTTTTCTTGTCCAGATGGATACTTCACGCTTTTGATCTGATGACAGCCTCGGTCTCCATGTTCCTCAAAAGGTCCCAGAAGCTATAGTGCTATTTGCAGCACGTTGGCTCTGCAGCCTGTGTCAGTGCTGAGTGACTGAGCCAAGGAGCCTGGGGTTTGCATGTCTAGTGCTATAGCAGGCCAGGGCACTGCTGGGAGCCCCTGAGACAGAAGTAGTTCAGGTTTTGCCTTCTTTGTCCTTCTAATGGCCCCTGTATAAGGCAAATGGACTATAATAAGAAGCTTCCAAAGAAGAAATGATATAATGATAAGACTTTTACATTATATGCCACTTAGGTTTACTTTGAATTATTTGCATTTACTTTTTGCTTGACTCGAGGAAGTGTACGCTGCTATTTGACTGAAGGTTGGAAGCAGCTGCAGGTGCTTCGGCATCTGTGAACATGGCTTGCGTTCTGCTTGTCATTGTTCACCCTTTAAACATTAACGGAGCGGTGTTAGAGCAGAAAAAGTCAGAGGTTTTTGTGTTCTTTTTCGTCCTCCTTTCTGTCAGAGGTCACATAAAGACATTTTGTGGGGATAATTAGACAATGAGCAATTTGTGGTCAAAGGAAAGCAGATAAATAACAGCTAGAATACGTAGCTCGAAGCTGCAGTATTAGTCCAAGATAGGTAATAAGGAAAGACAGACCTTGCAATTATGCTGAGAAATGGCACAGCCTGTGTGAAGAAAAATGAAGAGGAGACGATTTTCTTTAGCACATCTGAAGGATTAATCAGTAAAGCTGTAGCTGTGAGCTACTTCTAATACACATAGGAGGGTGATACTGATTTTTCGTTAAATAATTACTTTGGTTAGAAGAACCTAGAGGGTAGAAGTAGCTAAATCCTTTCAATTTCTTTCAAAAATCTGAAGTTTTTCAAGGGGCAGTCGTTTTCAGGTCCGTAGCGATCTAGACGAATTCTTCTCCAAAGTTGCTATATGTGTTTACTTTCTGCGGTTGTGTCTCAAGCTTACCGATAGTTTGCTGCTTAGCATGACCTGAGCTTTGATACTGAGAAAAGTTGCATGTTTTGAGGCAGAGGTCTGCACCAACATTGTTACGTAACTCTCTCTTTTAAAATAAACATCTTTGCACATGAAGTAATGTATACGTATTCCAGTTGGGCAGTACTTCCTTTTATAATTTCCAGGGCAATTCTGTAAAGGCCTCAAGTACCTGCCTAGTTTTGATGGTTCATGTGCCGAGCAGCATATCTGCTTTGGAAGATATTATCTAATCGTAAGTTAGAATGCAAACAACCAGGCCAGTGTGGGCTCGAGCAGGGAGCTCTTCCTTGGTGAAAAGATGCTGAATGGGAAAAGCTGCTGCAGTTTGCCAAACGTTTAGCTAGCACACAAATTGCCAGGGTCCAGGAACTGGCCAGGTTTAGCCTCCAGTCAGTGCTCAGCTGCTGTAAGATTTTGTATGTTTTGCATTCACATATTTGGACTGTGTGCTTGGGCTCACCCTGAAAATTGCCCCCACTTTATATGGCTTAGTGCCAATAGAATTAATATTTTCCCCGTGAGAGACTTCTGAGGTTCATACAAGTGTACAGTCCAACTCCTCCATGGAATTGTGTTTATTGATTTCCTAGTGTTGACTCTTGACTCTTTGTGTGTGTGTGTGTATATATATATGTAAATATAAAAATATATATATAGTATGATCCTCAAATGCTACTAGCTTGAGGCATGAGAGCTTAGCTGCCCTCTGTACTAATTGCAATATAGTATATTTAGATTTAAGTATTTCTGGCCAAAAAATAAACTTTTCCCCCTTTTTCTCCTTGCTGTTGCAATACCTCTGAATGCACATGTAAAGTGTGGGTCCAGTCTGTGCTTGCTGAGTAGATTTCAGGTTGATTTCTACTTTGTTCATGTTAATTCCTGGAAACACAGATCTCCTTCTCACAACTTCAGTGTTCTCATGATGCTTTTACCTGCCCTCCTTTGAAGTTCTTCTTGCTTCTGAATCAAGAAGTGTTTGGCTGCAGCAGTTAACGGCGTAGGCAGCTCTGCTCTCCTGTAATGTCCACACAGCAAACTGCACAATAGAGAACAAGGTAGATGGTCTGTGCAGAGTTCAGTGCCGCAACAGCTGAGGGTTGCTGCTTGCATCTCCCATGCCATCAGGTCTCTATTTTGCACTTCTTTGAAGTTTTCCAGGAACTACCTTAGTGTTAAGGATTAAAAGCTCCAAGTATTCTCATTTGCAAATGGGGAACTAAGCAAGTGGGAAATAAGTTTTATGATTAGGAAGCTGAATAAAAATGAACCAGATCTGATGTAATTAACAACCTTTGGTTAAATAATACAGGTTCTGTGCATGTTCCATCTCAAATGCCGGTCTCTGTCCTAGAGACTTAAAAGCTTTACAGGAGAGCAAGGAGCCCTAGTTAGTTACTAGCTATTTTTGTGGATTCTGACAGTGTCTGTCAGGAGAGGTGGACTCTGTCCTGCAGGAGGGCTTCATATCTAGCAGGAGACATAGCCTGCAGCACAGGAGGGCCTCGAGTTTTGCAGCACCAGATAGTCCTGTCTGTTGAAATAGTAGTCACTGAGCTGAGAAACACTCTGAGCCTGTTGTGGTATCTGCAGGCAGCTGTACCCTATGATTTCTTCAGCTTAATTTGTCACTTGTGGAAGTATCTGTATGCTTCATATATTGCAGTGAGTAATTTTGATACATTAGCTATGAAAAGTGGAGGTTTTAAGAGAGCTGCATCATGCAACAGAAGTTCTGCTGTGTGCTATGCTCTTGTAACATCCAGTGGAGTAGTAACTTTGCAGAAATCTCATTTTTTCCATCCAGGTCAGATGTGCTGGTATGTAGCCAGATGAACTAATTATGGTAAAAGAAATAATAACCCTCTAAATAAATAAAGTTCCACTTACGCAAGAGATGATTGTTTCATTTGCTATATTAGTCTTGCTAAAAGTTTATCAACCCCAGGTTTTATTATCATTTGCTGCATCTTCTTCTGGCTGATGGCTAATTCAGATTTAGTTACTTTTCTTCTTTCCTGAGAGGAAACAGGTAACTAGAACAATTAGAATATAAATTTTTCCATTGTCTAAATAATTAGATCTATACTAGGAAATTTGTTTTGACCAGTGCTTCTCGATAGCTTTTGGGGGAGGCAATTTAATTGCTTTGAAGCCACAGACTGGTTGGGCGAGGAGCAGGGAAGGTGGATTTTTTGTTTGTTTGTTTGTTTGCTCTGGTGTGTGCAGTTTCTTTTGGTTGGGCTTTTTCTATTTGTTTTTTTGCTAATGCTATTCAAAAAAGGAACACCATCAGAAATGGCACTTATTCTTTTCTCCCTCAAATAGGAGCATATTAAGAGCTGTAAGTGTCTTTAAGGAGCAGGTGGCATGGAAGTCCTCTGAGCTGTGATTTCAACTTGCGGGAGAGATTAGTAAATGGCCATATAAGATGGCTGAACTGCCGAAGCAGAGTACAGGGTTTAGAGGAGGAAGTCAGTGTGATGACAGGACATTTTTTCCGTCAAACATGTCTCTGTGGTGCAAGACCAAGAATGGGGAAAACTCTTGCATGGGTAGAGGCAGGGAGATGCCATGGCAGGCCTTCTGGTTGAGTGAAGTGACAGAGGGAGAAGTTTAGGATGGAGAGAGAATTGATAACGGAAAAAAGAATAATCAATGGAAGAGTGAGGTGCGAACAGCTGACTTTGGCTTCTCATGGTGCAGTGGAGTGGCTATATGACTGTGAGAGCAGAGGCTGAGATGGCTGTGAGAGCATTTGGCATGAGATGCCAAATGAAACCAGGCGATGGTCGAAAAAGGACTTTGTGACAAAGCTTTCACCGAGCAGGTTAGCGTCACTGAAACAAGGGTAAATTAATCTTGAAAGTTCATCTGCTTTCCCGAAAACATCTTTCCCAGGCTTACACTGTGCCTCCTAGGAACAAAATCCCTGTGGGAACTGCTGTTGCCTTGGGCTGCTACCCCTCTCTTTTTAAAGTTACTCCTCAGAACATTTTGCTGTTAAATATCCTACGAGGAACTTAGTGATGGAATATGGCTAGACTGAGCTACATATGCACATGTGGAACAGAATATATTTTGTAAATACTGCCAAAAACTCTTCCCTGCTTTTACTATATCTTATTCCCATCTTCTCTGTCTTCCCTTCTGCTTGATCTTTTTGGAATATAAGAAGAAAACGTGCATTTTTCTTTGTTGTTGTTGTCCAGCGTTGTAGACGGTACTAGAAATAAATAGCAGTGCCTTCTAAACTGTTGAAAATAACACATCTTACTGTATTCACTTTGGATATGTCAAATTATGGGAATGTTCTGGGGACACATCTTTCAGAAAATGGCAGTTAGGTAATTTGTATTTGAGTTTAGACTTTGTTCTTGCAAATTAATCAAACTAACAGTAAAGTAGTTTTGATGAAAATGGTTTTGAAGCAACGGTTTGCAATAAGGAAAATTTGAGAGCAGCGGAACAAAGAATTTTTTTTTTTTTTTTACATAATCTTCAGCAAACTCATGGAGCTGGTAAAAAGTGTCTAGTAAGAAGATCATTTGAGGGATCAAGCAATGCATGAGAACTAGTAGTTAAGGAAGCACTATAGAATGCCTTATAGAAGTTATCCATCGTGATGCAAAGGACATGCGGGAAGTACATTAAGAGACTGTTATGGCTGGATCGGATACTCCTTTTGCTTTACAGCAGTTTAAGGATTTCTATAAGAAGTGGAAACCAAGTGTGCAAAATCACAAAATGAATTTCAATTCATTCATTCATTCAAATGTGCTCTAGATGACCCTGCTTGAGCAGAGGTGTGGACTAGATGATCTCCAGAGGTCCCTTCCAAGCTTGGCCGTTCTGTGATTCGATGATTCAATTAGCAGGGATTTAAATAAGAACAGGGTAAATTCTATGATACATTAAAAATAAGAGGGAAACAATGTGCAAATCCATTAACAGCAAGAAGAAAGCACATAATGAACAAAGCAGAGGGAGTTAAAGCATGAGCGCTTTTGTGCGTGTTAGTCTGTGTAAGGAGAGATTGCCAGATAATCAGCTAAATTAATAGAAATAACAACAACAACAGACCTAGTGATGCCCAAAGCAGAGAAGAAAAAATGCTAAAAACACTGAGGGTAAGATAAAGTTATTCAAGTGTATAGGGCCTGATAAAAATCTACCAATGAGTACTTTAGGATACAGCTGAAATAATCTCTGCACCATTTGAAATTATCTTTGAGAATTCATAGGTTATGGAGAGACTTGCTGTAGAAGGAAGATGGGAAGAGAGAGTATTTATGTTTAAAAGAAGGACAGAGAGAAAGACCTGGATAATTACAGATAATTTTCTCTAACTTGAATTTTGAATCAGTCTGCAAGCACCTAGGAAGCAGGAAGGCCTGGGTTGTCTAGAGCAGATCATGCCAAATCAGTACATCCTCCTTGTTTGACAGGGCAACTGGATAAGTGGGATAAAGGAGACGTGGAAGGTAGATGTTTTGACTAAGGCTTTCATACTGTTAAACATGTCACTGTCATAAGTAATCTACAGTCTAAATATAATTTCCATAAGGTGGGTGCATAGTTGTTTAAAAAAATCTCTAAAATGGAAATAGCTAATTCTTAAATGGTGAAGGCATTTAAATTGACATGCTCACACATTTCTTCTAGAATGAATTTTGTTGACTTTTTCATTAATGACTAGCCTAACAAAACAGAGGACCACCTTAAAAAAATGTGTGGATGATACTGCCCTGGTTGGGCAGGATCAAAATTCAAAACAACCTTAAATTAAGCAACAAGATAAAATTCAGTTAAGACCAGAGCAGAGCACGCTTGGAAAGAAATCAACATTACAGCTATATAATGAAAATTCATGTGTCTGGAGAGTCGCGTGATGCAAATCTGTGAGTTCTAGTGAATCAAAACTAAATATAGTCAGCAATATTATAATGTAAGTAAAACAATTTCTGGATATATAGAAGATGGTGCAGATCATTACTCCCTCTCTTCAGTATTGATGAAGCTTCTGTTGGGCTTCTGTGTCTGGTTTTGAACGTGCTCAAAAGCAAATGCGGACGACTGTAAAGGATGCAGCAGAGCTTGGAAAACCAGCTAGGATGGCAGTCTTTCCAAGGGCACTGTTGTTACATTTATGCCATTTTGTTACTAGCTGGATATTTGGGGATGGGGAGTGGGAATGGTATTCTCGAAGTTATTGTGAAGCATGACATTGTGGATAAAGGTCTAGTCCCACATGGAATTTGGATAGTAGTTTGCCACAGGCAGATGCTTGCCAAATGTGATGTCAAGCTGCCTGAAAGGTGTGGAGTTGTGGTTGGCGTTGTAGTATTCCTGAGCTTATTTTAATTCTATTAAGTGGCATTTTACTAGCTTGAGCTCTGCTAATGTTGGCCACTGGTCAGTTCAGAGTGAGCTTGCTTCTGCAGGTGAACCCTTTGGCTCTTCAGGCTAGGCAGACATTTTCAGACACTCATTTTCTGTATGTAAAATGAGATTTTTGTGTTGCTATTTTCTTTACAGATCCTAAGAAGAAAATTACCGAAGTGTGAAAGTTAGTACCTTATGTTTAGACATAGCTGATTATATTAGAAGAATTCCAGGATGGTGTGACCAGCCAGCTTTCTGCAAGCTACTGCCAGTACTTGAGCCATAATCAGAGAATCGTTGAACTAAAAAAAAAAAAATTCTTATTAATCATGACAACTGGGAAGCAAGCCAAATGCTGGGCCATAACAGTAATAAGTATGCTGTTTATGTTAGACAGAAGTAAATTATTGATATACTTACAGTTTTAGGCATTTGGGAAGTTGATGAATCTTCTATTTAAAAAATTTTTAATGCATGAATAAAAAGGTAAGGTGTTTTAATATCTTTCTCTTGCTTTTATAGCAACTAACTGAACTGAAACTGTTGAAAAACTGTAATTTAAGCTACTTGCACTTGATCCTAACTCCCAAAGGGATGATATTTCTTGGGGTAGGGGAATGAGATTGGTGTCACGGAGCACTGCTGAATGGAAACACTTGGTCACAGTGGCAATCCTGAAACAGGAGAGATTACCCAATGCCTACTGCATCCTAGAGAATAATACAGAAAACTTTTGAATGCCATTGGCTAGGCATTTGCTATATTTTCTGCTTGAGCTTTAACTATTTTGTATAGCATGAAACAGAAGCAGAGCAGAAGGACATAAATGGATTTTATACGTGGAAAATTCCAAACGGGCAAGGGTCAGTAGTGTTCACTTAGAAAAATAATTGGTGTAGGCGTAGTAAAACTATAATTAATAGGAGTGTGTGTGTGCGCGCACGCAAAATAAAGTATGTAGCTGATAATAGCTGCAGGTTGGTGTATCTTAAACAGTGGTTTTGAGACCGCTTGCCCTCTCTAGCAAGCTACTAATGCTTTCAACCTCTTTTGATTTATACTCCCGTAAATGTTTTCTGTCAAACTTGAGATGTATAGATCTATATATACTAAGTCCAGATCTGTTCTGTTTCTGATTTGTGAAGCCCTTAGAGAGTCTGTGGACTGCAGGCTGAAAACCATTGATGGTCTTTTAGGATGATCCTGTTTGGTTTTAGTTGATAAACTGTTCTTCTTAATTAAATGTTAGTATCCCCTACTGATTAAGTAAACAGTTGCTCCTTCAGCATACTGGATAAACGACTGCTATGCTGAAATTCAAAAGCATGAATTCTAGCCTTGAGGCTAAAGTAACACTGCTCTACAGTTTGATTTACCACTAGAAGCAAGTATAGTCCATACATCATCAGGCTGAGCGATCTGTGAGACTACCTGGTATTTGAAGATGTAACCTCAGCAATGAGCAAGTTGGTTCCCTTTATTTTAATGCTGACGAGTTCCCCAGAGTTGCTCGTCCCATGTATTTTCATGTTACTTAGAACCTAGCTGCACCAAACTCCACTGCTTTGAAAGTCTTACTGACTTCAGAGTCACTGACTCCTGGAGACTACATGTTTGTCTCCAACTCTGCAGATGTGTGTGTTATGTACTTATATAATGGCATTTACTCAGGTGCCTACCTTTCTGTATGTCACAGAGGCATAGTATGAAACAGTCGCATGTAACAAGAAATTAGACTCTACGGGATTCTAACCAGATTTTCAGGTGTCTAACTTGTTTTAGAAAAAACTTACCCAATAAACCGTTCATAGACGGAACAAAATCCACATTTTTGGTTACTGCTCTGCTCACCAGTCACTGGGCTTGTTGCCCCCGTATTGATTTCTGTGACGGGTCTGGATACAAGCTTCTATGAAGAGTGCCTTTATTTCATAGTGTCAATCCAGTATCTTTTTAATATCATGCTGTAACTGATATATTTTTCACATCAGGAAATGAAAATGGTTTTGAAGAGCAGTGCTGTTTTTAGCTGTAAGACAGGATTAGTCTGCTTTAAGGCTTATTTCTAAACAAAATCTGTGCCAACTGGAAATTATTCAGCTGGTTGGAAAATGACACAGGAAGAGTTTGGTCAGAAATATTTGCTTTTTAACCTTGGGATTTCTTCCATCTGCCTAATAAAACAGTTATATCACAGTAAGACTGATATTCGCTCACCCATATCCTGGCTGCACATTACTAGCTGCTGTTTAGGCAGATAGAAACCATTGCCTTTTTTCCTTCCCTTACGCACCTCAGAAAGAGCCTGGCTCTGTCATCTTGGTAACTAGGTGCTAGAAGGCTTTTTACTATGTCCACCCAGAGCTTTCCCTTCTCCAGCCTAAACAAGCCCAGTTTTATGAAATCTCTTAAGCTCTTAATTTCATTAGAGACTACAGCACGGTAAAGACATAGACATCAGGCGTTGTGTTTGTGTATTGGAAATGAATACAGAATATATCAGTTTTAAATACACCATTGCAACTGTTTTTAATTAGCTAACTGTAGGACAATTCTCTCTGTAATATTTGCGCATCTACGCAGCTTGGGATACTAGATCCTCCAAGGACCATGACGTGTCTCTGGGCTGGGGAGAAAACAACTTCTCAAGATATAAAAACATTTCAAGCACTTTTTTTTCCCCCCCCTATTAAAATTTATTCAAACCGGAAACCGTCTTCAGTTTCTTACAGGACAGTGCTGAAACCAGTGTTACAACGACAATATGGAAGTTGAGAAGGAAGAGTGCGTAGAAGGATATAATCTCTTTTTATGCAGATGCTTTCCGTCTCTTTTTTTGCCATGATCTGCGAAATCAAATCCAGAGCCAAACTTTCCAAACAATAACAGCACTGAGAGCAACTATACCCAGAACGTTATGGCTAATCTGATGCTCCTCTGTGAGCATCAAATGAGTGACTGTGGGAGACTGCTACGTTTGCAGTCTCTTATTAGTTGCTGCTGTCAGTGCAGTGTGTAAGTATAATCGTTTTAGTCTATTGAAGTTCTGCCATTTAAAGTTAGGAGGGAACAGACTCTTGCACGTAGTTTTATCTGTCTATCTGTATAAAAAACATAGACATATATATATAAATATATATATTTATACTGATGTCTTTCAATTTTTTTAAGGACAGCACAATTCCTGTTGTGAGGAAAGTCTATATCCTATATAAAAAAAGAAAGCATTTATTTTTTATAAATGCATTACTCCCAAATGTTTTCTTATAAGCAATTTATGAAGGAAGGACTACAAAGAGCAAAATAGATTAAAACGAAAATATACATAAAGAATTTGTAATGAAGACACCTTTTCCCTGGCAAGCCACAGAAGGAGATTTCCATGAATCATAAAAGCCGTTTCTGGAAATAACTTTGCGTAAGCGATTGCAGAAGCTCAACGTATTTTTTCTGGATCTCTCAATTTAAAAGATTTCATATTTTCTGAAGCAAAAAATAACATTTATTTTCTGTTTGCTTGGTTCAGACCAAAGCAGAAAGAAAGTTTGTGAGTTTGGATTTGTAGGTACTGACTTATTTTTAAGATGACAATGCAACAGTTTTTAAGCAAAATAAATTTTTTATGAAGATAAAATGACTTTTTAAAGTGCTCCTGCTTTAACTTCAGAGAGTTATAGGTGTAACTCAGAGTTACACCTCAGCTTGGACTGAAATATGTGTAGTCTCTCGCCTTTTTAGAGGCACATTTTGTTCTAGTCGTGTATTGAGCTGGGGCTCGCTGCCTACGCGTGAGCACATTAGTCTGACCTTCAAAAAGCTAGGCTGGGTAACAATGACTGATTCATCTAATGGCTTTGCTGTATGTATTTTCCATCAGATTACTCTGGAAATACTAATTAATTTTCTCCTAAGGATTTTGTTGGGCTTCTTTTTGGTATTTTGTACAAGAAACGTCTATGGGGCTTGAGCACTAGAAGTGCACAGTACAGTGCATTTCAGTAGTAGCCAATCTGTTTATTTTTTTAGAAATATTTTGTTCCCATAGCTGTTAGTGTCTGGTAAGAAAGGAGAAATAGACCAGTGAATTCATATTTTACCCATTCTAGAAAACTTTAAGGACCAGTCTGACTAGTTTACTGAACCAGATAAAAAAAATTTAGAAGCCTACATACAGTCATAGTTGCTTTTGATCAAGCCTTTTGGTCTTTTTTTTTTTTTCTTAACTCGAAATGCCCATAGAGAAGTAAAGGCTGTAGCCCTTTGTGATCTAAGTGATAAAAGTGATTAGCATTAATAAGAGTCTGAGCCAAATTTAGATTAGCAAAACTAAGCAATGAGCCTAAAGAAGCAGGCATGGTTTTAATTTACATCCCGCTTTCTTTCAGATTATTTGGTCTATATATAACAGCATTCCTTCTCAGAGTGCTACTGCATTTTTTTCAGTGTGCTTGCTTACTTCCTCAGCAGGGCGGTCCGACTCATAATTTTGGCTTTCTTTTGGATTTTGGTCCTCCGCAAGTCGGTTTGCTTGCACCAAGAACCACAACCAGAATTTTGAGGTGGGGTCATTCCAATTTCATCTCAACTTTCTACTCTTTGAAACAAATCGGAGTAGGAGATTGAAACTTGCATCTTACAGAAGAGGAGAATGAGAAAAATAAAATATCAGAACCCATTAACAATGGGCTCAATAATGGGAATTTAACTACAAGTCACCCTGTAACTTCGGCTTGTTACCTTCCAGCGTGCTTTGTGTAATACTACATTTTAGCTTACACCAGCATGTTAGGTAGGAGGCCCAAGGCAGATTTCACAATACAGGAATTGAGCTGCCTCACATGCATCGTATCCAATTTGTTTTGCACCAGTATCTACTTTTCACATAGTTTAAAGTTGTTTCTTTTACCTCATTCTTCTCTTCCAGTATCCATTTCTTCCCGCTTGGATGACTTCTCTATTTAAAGGTAAAAATTACAGACTAGAACAAGTTAAAATACTTCAGGAAAACTGTATCAGTCTCGGTAGTTTGGAGATGCGAAGAGGTACGCTGTATTAACCAAGCAAAAAGTTCAGAAATGTGTACTGTGTTGGGGTGTAGGTCTCTCTCACGTATCCTTGACCCCTCAAGTGCTTACGTAGCCCAGCAGGCAGCATTTCGATTTGACTTGTACACATTGTCCGTTCAGCCCCTTCGTTGGGTGGGAGTTTACATACAAAAGGTTCCACTGGCTTTGCGTGCTTCAGTGCTTTACCAGCTCCTGCTCTGAAGAGTGGAGCTGAAGGCAATTTCTGTTGCATTGCT